TATAACATTTTGTACATTGTTATTTTGGTTTTCTATAATATCTTAGTTAATTTCGAACCAGATGGACGTACAAAGACCGATTTTGTTACAGCCATTTTGAGAATTGTTTGGACAGTTAGCAAGATGATTTACAACTTTGCAAAACACTACGTTTTTTGTCCAATCTAAACTTGACAGCATAGTTACATTGACCAGTCCATTATCATACTAGATGAAGTGCAGTTTTTCAAAATAAAAAGGGTTTATTAGAATATACGAACAAGTTATTTTGAAATGTTTCAATATTTATTGAAATATGTACAATATAGATAAACAAGAAACCAAGAATAGTTATTGAATACGTACACTAACTTTGCAAAGTCAAATTTGACGCACAAATGGTTAACAATTAATAGTTGAATAGTCACAAAATAGAATGAACAAGAAATAATGGAACGTCAATGTAGCCATTGTGTCCTGTGGCAACACTTTGTGTAATGTAGTTATTTTGTTAGCAAAACAGTGTCTCCTGCCATTCCATTCTTTCTTGTGATCACAAGTAATGATCAGATTTCCGGTAAATAGTTCAATAAATAAATTCAATAGCTGCCCAATACATTACCTCAACATAAAATGGCCCTGTTTAGATAATATAAGTTAGCTTGTGGTAGCCATTTCGTTGACAAGGTAATTAAATATTAGCATTGTCGCATACGACTTGTTTACCACTTCCGTGTGACTGAGAATGTTCTAGAACCGTACTGTGTCTGGGTGGAATTTTTAGAAGTTGGTTGAATAGGTAATAGGACACTGTAGAAGGTAATGGAACATTCTAGAAATTTGTAGTAAGTTCCAGACTCATTATGTATGCTGATGTAATGGTCTATTTATTGACAGTATGGGTATATATAGGGGAGTTGTTCAGCACTGAGATCAGATCTGAGATCTCGTTGAATTGTATTGGAGTTTAAGTATCTAGTTATTGGAGTACCGGTAGTGGAGTTTTACCGCGTTATTGTACTTGATGTTTGCAGAGTATAATAATACCAGTACCAGTTGAAACCTCATCTGTTGGCTTCGTGTTCGTATTTTATCATCGCCGCCAGGGAAGTCTTTTTGTTACTGTTGCCATTTTGGTATTTGAACCATCACACCTGTACTATACCAATTATGGTAATATTACGTTGCGTGTGACAAGCATGTTCTCAATCAACAAAGCTGTAAAACTGAATGATCACTGTATGTGGATGATTCTAAATCTAATCCCTTTAAATCTACTCTGAGTCGTCTATAATAGCTGAACATCGCCTTTTGTGCTCATCTGTATTATTTTCAGTGATCTCAGAACCTGTGATAAATAAAATAAAGAAATGACTAAAGATGGCCATTTGCATCTAAGTTTTTATAGTAAGGTGATATGTGATCTGTCATCAAGTCCACCATTTTGTTTATCCCATAGACTATTTACAGGTGATATTTGAGAGTAAGTCATCAAATCCACCATTTTGTTTATCCCATAGACTATTTACAGGTTTAAGTGTCAGGTGATATTTGTGAGTAAGTCATCAAATCCACCATTTTGTTCATCCCACAGAATATTTACAGGTTAAAGTGTCAGGTTATATTTGTGAGTAAGTCATCTAATCCACCATTTT